TTGGTGCAGACTCTGCGAATCACAGGTTCATGTCTTTTCTAACTAAATGTTACCCTTTGTCCACAACCACCGCCACTGGGATTGAACTTCTCTGTGCTCTGTGATCTCTTCAGCACTGTTTGGCAAAGAGCACAGATATAATTATGTTGGGTGAATGGTAGGGTCGTCATTACAAACATCAATACTGAATACGTTTTTCATCGTTTCAGTGTAGTCAGACACTGGATATCTCGTCTGTTGGGAGCACGCAGTAAATTTTGCGCCTCCAACACGGCATAGATGCTGTAAATGCGCTGCATGGTGCTCCATGTCGTGCGATGCGTCGCAGATGTGCATATCTCTCACTGGAAACAGAGAAAAGTAAAGGCCCATCGTATTTTTGATTTCACCATCGTATTCAAAAGAACTTGCGAAAATATAACGGACAACTACCCGAGGATGCGAGGAAAACCTCGAGTGGTGACTGAATAACTCCAGAAGACGTACCACGAGCGTGATGAAGGTAGCTAACAATATACTGACAGCAATTTCAGTCGATAATTCCACGGCGCCAAAACAGAAAGCAACTTCCTTCTCCTTCGTCCGATCAAGGAATGTTTGGTACCAAAATGTTGCTGTGCGCGTCAGCTTTCCACTCCCGCGGATTTAGTATCAAAAATGTGGGGCTAGCGGCGGTAAATCGCGGAAGAATGATAGCAACTCACCTTAATCTCAACGTAAAAATGATTAATCTTTGATTTTTTGCAAAAATCAGCGGGTACCCCCCGCCATGTTAGATGGCCAAAAATCGCTGGCTGAAACAGCCGTGTAGCACTTGCTCTTGCAGCTAGGTCAAAGATCTGTACTGGCAAGTACACTTTTGCGCAGTCGCGACCTCGCGGCCCCGCATCACGTGCGGGTATCTGATGACGTAGCGTGATTCAAGATGGCCTCTGACGTGTTCCCGTTTTGTGATCCCAAATACCAGCCCTGACAGTACATGGCCTATGGTCCGGACCAACGTCCCCATCTGCATCCACAGGTAGGAACCTCGTGCTACTGGTGCGTTCGGGTCCCGTCATTCGCGATTTAGGTGGATCAGTTCGCATTTGGGGGGACAATGGGCCAGTTCTAATTTCTTACTTTTACGACGGGGCAGTACCAGTAAAGGTTTTTCAGAACCGCTCACAGAGCGATTTTTATATGGATAATTTCAGCTCTTTTTCCGTTCCCTCCCCACCCCAACCCCGAAGGTAAACATGATGACCACGCGCGCGATGTACTGTATGTAGCCATGCGACTGCAATAACACACTGATACATACCAGCCCTCCCCGCCTCGCTACCCCGCACACAGTACAGATACACAAACATGTGTATGCACACGGCACACACACGTGGCCACGCACACATACGCACATGCACACGACACAAACAGGAAATTCTTCATGTATAATGCCATGCAAAGCAGTGGCCACTGTACTTGAGGAAGTCAGTTGTGAAACAAAAATAATTCAACTACAGCGTGTAGACAAGCTGACGGCCAAAGCACAACATAGCAAACATGACATTTGCCCAAGGATTGCAGTTTGCAGACCATGCCATGGAAGCAGCGAATACAGAATGTAATATCATACAAAGTGACAAGCAAGGATGTGGCCATCATACACCAGAAACTTGCAGAAAGTCACATATCCAACAGATAGAGAAGTGAACAGCAATCTGATACAGCCCACACAGGACAAAGCGGACCTGATACTCGTCCCAGGATCGCAAGTGGCAAACCCTTTTCAATGCATAACATGCAGGTGTACGTTAGACGCATGAACATCTGACCGTGTCGCCAGCATACAATGTCATCACATGTTTACCCCACAAGTTACACACATGCACAGTAGAAGCACAATGAAAGCAATAGAAAAGTACGATGTGGTTGCTGAAGCATCTTCACACTTCAAATTCAGACTTCAATGTGGTCGTCACGGGATGATATACCTGCAAGATACAAGTGATGAAGAAAGAAAGCAGAAGGTCGTGAGGTAGGCTATGAGACACCACAAACGGTTCACCTACATGTCTGTTCAGGGCTAGTGCACTCACACGGAGAATTGTCATAATCGAGCATTTCCCAAACTGAGAAGTGCAATGAAATCCACTTGCATGCACAGGAGCAATTTTGCAATATTATGATGCGCAATTCGACACGATCTGCGATGCTGCGTGCGATGTGCCCTGCTGTCATGATAGTGACAGTCACCGCGGTATGTTTTGTCAACGTCGCCCGTGCACTCTTCTGTCAAGTCCAAAGTGCTCACATACTTGGCAATGTTTTTGCAGTGATTAACTTTTATCCTAGTTATGTCACGGGTAACTTTAATGAAGTACCCGCAGGCCGTGTCGATCTGCACATCGTCCACTCTCTCATGTACTTGGCCTGCTTTGTCTGTGTATTCATTTCATGTGCGATCCACAAAATCGACTAGACAGTGGGTGCAATACGCTCTCTACCTGAAGACGTTCTTCTGGCGACATCTCGCCATGTACTTGGCCTGGCTTTGTCTGTGTATCCATTTCATGTTCGATCAACACAATCTCAATGCACTACAGAGACTAGACAGTGGGTGCAATACGCTCTCTATCTGAAGACGTGAACCATTAAATTTTTTGGAAAAGTTATACGTACACCTGAAACGTAATGAAGTACAGGAATAGAGAGAGTGACCTAGTGACTACAATACGCTCTCGACCTGATATAGTGATAACGTGAGTACAAGACACTCTCCACCTGATAACGTGTTAGAAGGTAACATGTCTACAGTCCCACCGTACCCTTCCGACACGACTGTAGACCATTAAATTTTTTTGAGAAGTTATACGTACACCTTAAACGTAATGAAGTACAGGAATAGAGAGAGTGACTACAGTCCATTCAGAAAAAGATGGGCTCTGGCTCTGGCGAGCTCCCGTATTTGGCGATTTTTCGTGATTTCATTGTACACAGTGCAGTGCTGCGAAATTTGAACTTTGAAAAAGAGTCCAAAAAGGGTACCTGAACTGGGGTTCGAACCCCACAATGCACTGTTGCAGGCAGGGTCAAACGGCCTGGATTTTGATGGTTTTTTCCAATTCAATGCTTCTCGGGCAAAACCTGGCCGATATCCTATTCTTGTTATGGCTTGCTTTTTGGACAAATAGACTTCAGAAACATAATTGGAAGAGGATTCCATAGGGGATTGCAGAAAAAAATTCTAAAAAAACTCAAAGTTTGACCCATTTATGGCCAAAAGCTAGAAGTTCATCTTTTTCTGAATGGACTGTACAATACGCTCTCGACCTGATAACGTGAGTACAAGACACTCTCCACCTGATAACGTGTTAGTAGAAGGTAACAGGTCTACAGTCCCACCGTACCCTTCATCATTCCTCATTCACCATCGCGCGATACCCTGGCACACACTGGCAACATACCGTATCAATGGGGTGCCTTACCGTCGTCTAGAGGAGACGTCTTCGCAGCAATATTTTCCCTCCTGCGCATTCAGTCGCCGACGCGACAGCGTTCACGGGGCCGTTCCAGTTGCGGAAGACATTCGATTCATCGGGCCAATTCAGCAACAGGGCCGTGGACACACAGGGGGCAGAGGAGAGACATTGTTAGTGGACAAGAAATATGCAGTGGCAAGTGGCGAGTGCCGCATGGATGTCAAGTTGTCATGCACAATTCAGCTATTACTTACGGTCCAGCTAGTCCTGCCATTGCTCGCTCGTCCTGGTTCCTCCTCGTTCGTCTTCCTGCACGTCTGCACTTCTCCTTCCCCACCGTTGGCTTTGCGGTACGGGGGTGCCGGAAGGAATTCCCACCATGTATCCATGTACATGAAGTCCCACCATGACTCTCCATGCACATGCCCACGGCCACGTCAGCAGTTTGATAGTACCGGAAGGAGTTCCCACGATGTCTCCAAAGGCCTAGAGCGGACGTCTTTGCAGCAATTCTTTTCGCCCTGCGCATTCAGTTCGCCGACGATGTCTCCAAAGGCAAAGGCCTAGAGCCTAGTAGAGGGGACGTCTTTGCAGCAATTCTTTTCACCCTATAGGCCTAGTACCCTGCACATTCACTCCGCCGACACGACAGCGTTTACGGGGCCGTTCCAGGTGCAAAAGGTCCACGTCAGCAGTTCTCAACTATTTCGCGTACGGGATAGTCGCCGCGACAGCGTTTAAGGGGTCGTTCCAGGTGCAAAAGGTATCCATCAATGGCACTTTGCAGTATGGGATACGGAAAAGGGGCCTCCTCGTTCGACTTCATCGACTTCTAATTCTGCAGTTCTCCTTCCCGTCAGGGGTACCAAAAGGGGCCTCCTCGCAGTTGTCCTTGCCGTCAGGTCCACGTCATGCAATTCTCAACTATTTCGCGTACGGGATAGTCGTCTTTGTCGTACGCGACATCGGCGTTTACCGAGTGGCATTGGCACAAAGCAGACCGTTGACGGGGTCACGTGTCAAATAAGTATCAACAACGTGTCGACTACGTGTCGACCACGTGTATAGCGGTACACTCAGCGGTACACTAATTCTCGTGCCATTCTCGTGTCACAAAACTGGAACATCGAGTACCAGTATGGAAAGGCTTCAGACAGGAAGCCTTTCCAATAGCCACTGGTACTGCTCAGAGCCTCTCTTACTTCGGTCACCGGGTTTGTCCCACATACCGTAATCATTCACAGGCCGCCATTGCGGACAGCCTATCATTCTTACAATCAGGGAGTCGTAAAAAGCCCTTTTACTTTTAGTTTTACTGTTTTAGTTTTACCATGTTTACGACTCCCTGTCAAAATGATTGTGTGGACTGTCAAACTAAAGCCAAAGGCTAGCATTCCTATCTCTCACTCAGGGCCGGGACTCAGGCTGAGTACAGTGGATGACCATGGTGACCCATTCTGTTGCTGGAACAAAATATTTTGGTAACCTTTTTATTTCGTCTCGTCAGATGCAGAGTCGTCACCCAAGGAGAAGCCGACAAGTACCAGTAGTTAAGTAAGTAAGTAATAGATAGTTCGTATGCAAGGAGGACTCGGGGGAGTCGGGTTTCAACCGTGGTTTTGCGTGGGACATCAGGCTTTCACAAGGTTAGCGTGTGCCGTGGTCCTGCTATTCCAGAAAAACAAGAGGAATAAACCTCGGCACTCAAACAAGTCCGCGCGCCGGCGCTGGCAAACGACCTATCACTGCACTGGTCGGAGCATAGCAATCGAAGCAAGTGTCGCAGCGCAGCGACCATCGCATAATCATGCTTGCTAGGCTGTTCGCGGTTGTAGCGTCCTGCTGCTGTGTGCAGCAAGCACTGGCGAGAGGCCCAACACCAGCACGGTGTGGTGAGTAAACAACACGAAGATAGTTGTACATGACATTGTACTACAATATTCTGTTATTGATTGCTAGGTTCGAGCCAATAGAGGGTAGTTGTGTAGGCTAGAGACAGAAGGTTCCACTCCTCAATTACTTTGGTTGAGGTACAACACAAACTAGTAGCAGGGACTGGAGTGCTAAAACAGACAGTTTTTTAGCACATTGTACACCTTGCACATAGTCAATGAGCCCACACGATTAACAACCCGGTGGCTGGGTAACCGTATCAGGTTTTGTGTGAGGGATATGGCACATACATGTACATGTATGTGTGGCACTTTTCAGCTTGGCAAAACATGATATCGTTTTGATTATCGTCGAAGCGGACTCCACCGTTCAGTCTTCTGTCTCGTCCAGTGCTAGTAATGCAGGCAGGACCACCTATGTCGGTTCCTGTTACTCCTATTGCAGTACATGTGCAGCAAGTGAAGCCCTGCTTCACGAGAAGAGTCGTTTTCTCTTCGCAATCCCGGCATTGTCCGTAGTCGACTACTTGTAGGTCCATGCAGCCCCAGGAGCTTGTGTCAATGATAAGATTGGAGTTTGTGCAGGGGCGGATCCAGACCCCAAAGCTGAGGGGTGCGAGGATGAAACTTACATATTTTCTTTTGCAGTAGTAAACCAAAGACATAGTATGTTATGTGTGTTACTGTATAATATCATAATTACACATAGCACCAAGATGAGTAGTATGATTAGCACTGATCATCTGTTCCACAGGCTTGCGAACATTCTCGATGAGCTGAAGGAAATTGTCATATTCCAGGGCAGCAAACTTATGGACATGGGACTTGGTATTGTGCATCTGCAACTTGGAAGATGCCTTGCCCCAACTCCGAAAGGGTTCACGATACAGCTGTTCCAGTTTGGAAGAGTTTTTACTCAATGCCTGGAACCTATGGCCAAATATAACGCACCAGATGCAGAACGCACCATCCACTTCCTTGGAGTACGCCAGCCACGGATAAGTTTCAATCCACGAGAGCTGAAAACGTCTTCCAGATGTCGATGGGCAGTCCATGCGGTTCGAAGGCTTCCAAACATTATCTAGGAGCGACTTGATGTCATCATTGCTGGCATTCTCCATCAATCCAGCAAATCGCCCAATGTCAAAAGGCTGATGGCTCTCACAACGACGCTTAGCAGCAGGCTCCATGGTCTCACCAGCTGGTCCACCAGCTGTGTCCGACATCTCCGCTCAGCATGCACGGAAACGGAGTCGGAACAAGCAGTGAGAATTTGAAAGAAGCTAACACGACAACTGAAACATGCAACGTCAAAAGTAAAGAACTTCGAAGTGAGTTTGTTGCCGGTGAAAAAGTAACCGTTAGTTCCAAAAATGTTCTATTCCAAATGTGCAGCCCTGGCGCGTTGACGTGCACAACGAGCAGTTGAGCACGTGTCCAGAACGATCACGTGATTGCACACAAATCATCCGCGGATCCGCGCAGCGAGCCTGGGCCTGGCCTGGCCTGACCTTTTTTTTTTTTTTTTTTTTGGAAAAATCCTGACGGGTTCATTTGCACCCTTCGCATCCCCCTGGATCCGCCCCTGTTGTGCCAATGTCATACGCAGTGTATGTGGATGCTAAGCCTCTTCTTGTACGAGACTCGTATATGAAATGTTGCTGTTTCAATTCTGATTGAATGATGCGCAGTATCTCCGGCCACTTGGGAAGGACGCTGCATAACGTCACAGGTAGGCATGTGCATGGTGTGCGTGGGAGAGACAATCCAGAAAAGTGCTTTTATACCAGCCTTGTTGATGAAAGGGACCACATGGACTAATGCACCACGATACCAGCCACTCATGGTTCATGCAGCTTCGAAAGTTCAGGATTTGGTTTTGATTCCTGCGGTGTGCCCTCCTCAACGGCAGGCAAACATGTTCTGTTAAACGTACGTTCCGCATGGACACGACATCACTGTCATGAATCATGTTCCTTGTTTATATTCATTGTATAGGTTGTTTATATTCATTGTATAGGTTGGCCAATCGGCGAGTTTCAGTGAGGGATTTTCCTTATTCAGCTATGACTCTTCCGAGGAGAGGATAGCTATCAAGAACGAGCTTGTAGAGGGAGACAAGCGTGAGTTCTATGAAGAGATCTTTCTTTTCAAACAGGTGAGTGCTGATGTGAGTATTCGAACGCCACACTTGAATCCCCCATGATCTCATCTCTACCTGCATGCGCAGTACATATATTCAATTCATACACATTTCAAGAAGGGCTGAGGCTTCCTGCAGCTCCATATCTGAAACACCCGAATTCCTTTCAGATACTCATTTCATTTACTGCTATGTATAATTCACTCACTGAAGTACTTTACTAGTGATTATAGCTACTGCCTACACGGCGGTAAGATGGGGTTCAAACCCAGTTGGGTGGTGTACATCTCTGGTCGGTAGACACATGTTTATCATTGAAAGGAGCCGCTGACTTTCTGATGTCACATGATCATCACCATGGCGGTCGCCAAACATGACGCATTCAGGGCTGAGATACCATATTCTGTGCCCTGATGAGCGGGTGGTGGGCAGATATTCGTGATAGTTACAGAAAAAGCTGTAAGTGATTAGGCCACTGCATGCACATCAGAAAGGCAACTCAAACATCCGTACTCGGGCTCGGCCGACGATCTTTCTCATCGGGTGTGGCCATTAACTGGTCTCACCTTTGTACTGATTACTTATTTCATTCTTGACAAGTTCATAATTATGGAAGCTGAATGTTAAGAAAGTAAAAGTGGGGAGGCTTCCTGCAGTTTCATAAACAGTTCAGAGTAGAGAATACACGCATTTCACAATAATCATTCCAACGTTTCGGCAAATTGCCTTCATCAGGTTCATCAGGTTCACAATGGTGTGCAAGCTCCCAAACCAGCATTGATAAAGGCCAACAACCCCTCTGTCAGTAAGAGGGTGTGAGAAGAATATATATAAGAATATATATTACGTCACGTGGAGAGACAGAACGATCACTAGAGACCCGTCTAAAGGAACATAATGGAGAAGCACGTCGAAGGACTCATGACAAGCCCTGGGGTGACCACATGAGAAACAAGCATTCGCGCAGGAGATTGAGACTGCGAGATAGCACCTTTACAGCAGTATGAGTCCTTGCTCGAGAAGGCGACAGAGCTAGCAGGAAATTGAGGGAGGCTGTGGAGATCAGAAATTTGGCTCCAAAGATAAACACTAACGCTGGGTGGTCATTGCTGTGATTTGTATCGCCACTCACTTATTGTCTGATTATCATGACATTCGGTGCTGAATAAAGTGTTTTTGTTTTGTTTTGTTTTTTTAGCTCAGCTGTAGTCCCCTCCACCGATAGTCGATGTTAGCGCTATTAGCTGAACTCTTTTTCGCGCTGCTTACACCCTCTTGCTGACAGGGGGGTTGTTGGCTTTTATCAATGCTGGTTTGGGAGCTTGCACACCATTGAACCTGATGAAGGCAATTTGCCGTTACATTGGAATGATTATTGTGATTTGAGTTGAACTATTGCAGTGTCAATGGAAGAGAGCGTGTAGGCTCTACTCTGAACTGAATGTTAAGTAGCACTAGAAAACAGCATGGAGCAGAAGAAAGTTGTAGTCTCTCAGCAGGAGCCCCCCCCCCCCCCCAACATCTGCTTATCGCTTGGGAGTTCTGCATGATAACGGTACTACACAACACAGTCGACATTAGTTCTGATCTTCGTTTGCAAAATGCACATCTCGTGCATGCAGAAACTCGGGTACAAGATCAACCTCAAGACTAGACAATGCTTCAACTACACTCTGCTTGAGCCATTCCGTCCGATCGAAGTGCCGACAAATGCCACATCTCGCGGAGAGGAATATATCGGCGTGTCGTCCGTGCCGGGAGCCAGCGTTCTTGTGACCCTGTGGAGTGCGGACACTACCATCGGTAAGCCTTTTAGGCTCTCTGATTAGAGACGTGGGCAACGTCATTTCGCTAGCACATACAGTAAAACCTGCCCTAAGCGGACGGACACCCTTGGTGCAGCGGGAACTGTCCTGACTTGACAGGATTCCGCCGCTTTATCCAGGGATGCACATTTGGTCCACGGCACTTTAGTGCATGGAAGTTTGTCCGGGCAATGCAGGAGTCCACTTGGTACAGGGTCCGGTAAACACAAGTTTTCTGTACTCCTGACGACGGTAAAAGCTGTCCCAATTTGCATAGCATTGCTCTTTGCGTAACTTGTTCAATGCATGTATACCTAACCGCCAGTACTTTCGAACATTGCATGTGGCCATACAAAAGCTGGTACTAGTATTTCTTTGCTTTAATACAGATAGGAATTGAGCGTACACACAGAAAATAAATAGATGTGCTTTGGTACCGGTAAGCCTCAGTTACACTCATGCCTCGTTTATTGGGATAATTCGAGATGCGGCATGGCCGGTAAGTATGAAACATCCGTAACTTCGATTGTAAATCAAAATATTGAGTGGGGGCAACAATACGGTATGTGTACTAGTTTTTTTTAAGTATCATACTTTTTGCAATTGGCTTTTAAGTATTAGTCGAAGTCTGAAGAAAATATTCAATAGTTGCTGCTTGGATGATGAGTACGCTATAGCTTGGTGGTAGAGCATTGCTGGGCATAAGCGAGGGTCCCTGAGTTGAGTCCTGGTGGTGACAGTCATTTTGTTCTTCAGACATTCCCGTTTGCAACTCCCTCAAACTAATGGGTAGTGACTGAAAATCCACAGAATTCATTCCAAGGGTGTCCAGGTAGAGAGCTATACAAGGGTGTCCAGGTAGAGAGCTATACAACTTTACAAGGGTGTCCAGGTAGAGAGCTATACAAGGGTGTCCAGGTAGAGAGCTATACAAGGGTGTCCAGGTAGAGAGCTATACAAGGGTGTCCAGGTAGAGAGCTATACAAGGGTGTCCAGGTAGAGAGCTATACAAGGGTGTCCAGGTAGAGAGCTATACAAGGGTGTCCAGGTAGAGAGCTATTGACGTGGCTGTAACTCCGGTGTACGCGTAACGGAAGCATGAGTGCATATTAATGTAGAGTGCTGCTCAATGAAATACCGATCAAGCGAGCCAATGCAACACCGGGAGCCCTAGACATGCGAACACTGGCATGATGGTGAACTGGTGCGCGGCGCACACTTGACTCACGCGATTGGGTTTCGTTGAGCAGCACTGTACGTGCATTGTTACGCGGTGAATATTTCCAGACGGACGATTGTCACAAGAGTGGCATCTGGAAGATGATGGCACCAGCTTTGCCGGTTTGCATTGGTTCTTGACGATGTGAGTGTGCAACTAGCTGTATTGCAACTGTGCTCATGGAAAGAAATAGCAAGGAATGTATTCTTAATTGGGAACTCGTGGCCTGGCACGAGGGAAACATGGATGCAGTGAATGGGATTTTCGGTCTTTGTCCACTTTGTGGTGGGTCTGATCTACTCACCTCCCACCGCTTAGGAGCTGCATCTGCGCCTTGATCCTAGAGGGTGGTGGCGTTCCTGCGGAGGTGGAAAACTCTGCCTTCAGCTGAGTCTCACGCGAACCGTGATTTTTTTTAAATGAGTAAGCCACAGTTCATTGGCTGGATGTAGCGAATGGGATTTTTCAGTCTCTCACCACTTTTGGTGGTGGGTCTGATCTGCACACACCTAACACCCACTTTTGGAGCTGCATCTGCGCCTTGATCTTTAAGGACGGTGGCATTCCTGCGGCTCATCACGGTGAGCTATTATTATGAGTATGCCGCGATAACCTCTACTGAAGAACCTTTTTTTGTATACTCTAGGTGTAGTGCATGTGTCAATTAATCTTATTGTTGTTGTTGTTGTTGATCGGGTGATGGCGGTGGTGATGGTGATGACGATGGATATCGTCTGCTGATGTTGGATGCTTGCACTGCTCCAGGTCGCTATAGTGGCAGCTGGACTGCAGTGGACTGCATCCCTGTGATGGACTCCTATGTCAGCGCTACCAAGGGCTTCATACACAGGACGTGAGTATCCTCTGCCACAGATGCAAACACATTGCAGTCATTGCCCGTGACGCACCGATCAGATTGAAGTGTACAGTAATATCAGAAAGACACACTTGAAACTATTGTACTAATACCAACGCGTTTTCAACGCCACCCTCACTTGTACAGTTCTAAAGCCACTGTCACCCGTTGTTTGACTCAGAGGTACCACTACAGCCGGGCTATGGCTTCACGTATATTATAGCTGCGTTACCAGTTTTCACAGCTTGTCAGGGGAGCTATTGGAAATGGAAGATTCCGCGAGCCTTTGGTTGGGCTGAAACAAAACTTCAATTTGAGTGTTTGAACGTTCTTGATGTTAACGAACGAACAAACACACATTCTCTAACATTCACCTTGCACACGTGTGCTCAAAGCACGAACCGATATAGGCAAAAAACAGTGGCATTTTTGAACACATCTTTCGTGCAACACTCAGATATTGAGCCAATAATAACATTTAATGTAATAGGAAAGGGACAGATGGATATGAGTTATGAGCAATCCGCTGGCAGCCAGGTCAAAATAGTAGGGGGTGGGGGTGGCAGGGGAAACAGTTACCCCCGGGCCGTAATCCTTTTTTCCCATTTTCCAAAATGTCTTGCCATGCAAATGCAACAACGTACGGGGGAGAACTCTCGACTTCACCCCAGATAAGTGTACCTTTATGACCCCTCTGTTAGTGACTATTGATTGCATTTTCGTTGAGTTCCCTGAAAAACACAAAAATCGGCGAGTTGGGGGGGGGGGGGGGGGGAGGGGGCTGCACACCCTACTTTCCTTTGGCTAGAACCCTGAGTAACGTCCACCACAGTAACTACACGTAGATAATGTACAGTGCAACAACCAGGCATAAAACTGACAGAGTACTAAGACGATCATGACGTCAGGCGAAATTACTGGTCAGTCGGCAACACGCATTTTTTCACAAAAATTTGCGTTTCACCTGCTGGGAGAGTATGCGTGTACTCGAGTCTCATCCTGAGCACGTTTTTTCTTCTTTTTTCAGCTCCAATAGCTGTATTTTTCATTGCAAAGCCGTCCTCGATTGTTGTGTTCGTTGTTCAAACGAAGTGGACATTCAATCATGAAGGCAGAGGACATAGGAGCCTGATTGGAGTTTCTCGTGGCATTGGACGGCCACACAGAGACACTTTGAGATTTTCTGAATATAAAAATAATACTGTACGCACGATGCTGAGATCAATTTGTGCGATATCAAATTGTTTGTGATCTACCACATCAAGCAGAACGGGATCCAAACACAAGCTTACCGACGGTTAAGCTGCCGACCTGACTGGACAAATGATCCCTGGCTTCACCAGACGCCAGAAGTCGGACACCATGTCCTTTGCCGCGACGTCCATCTCCAAAAAGAACTCCATCTTCGTCGTGGAAAGGCTTGAAATACCTCAATATTCAACCGAGATTCGCGGTCTCACCCTTTCTCAGATAGAATCATTTTTTGTTGTAGCAGTTGCAGGGCAGATCCCCGCCACTACTTCAATAGGGGATCGCTTCACAGCATGTCTGGAACAAGCCATATCGAGGTTGCAAGCCACCCCTCTCAGCAAGAAATTCGAAATTCCAATGGTTGAAGATATATTATAAAGAGAATTTCAGAAAGTCTGGTTCGCGGTCCAGTAGTAGGCATGGAACCACAGGGGTTGATGTCATAGCTGACACACAGAGTCACACACACAGCAGATTCGTGTGCACAGATACTAAATTAGTGGACGTCGTCATCTTCTTCCCGCTGGTCTCAAATGTACAATGACGTGCTATTTCGCCTGACGGATCAAAAGGGGGAAGGTGAACGCAACAAAAATGAGTACAAGCCAAGTCTAACGGTAACAAAGAATGTCGACTGTTACTGGACAATGATAAGACCAGTAAGATACCGTATTTTCCAGGGTGTTGGCCACACCGGAGTCTAAGCCGTACCCCCCTTTCGGGCCAAACATTCGTATTTCTGTTGACATTCAGTGTATAAGCCGCATGCCAGATATTTGACTTGATAGGTATTTGTAGGTGCAAGACGTTACCAGTGGCTTGGAAGCAAAAGTTGCCTAGTTTGTCCTTCATTCAGAACTGACAATGATGATGTGGAGGCTTCGTGCTAGTGCAATGATGGATTGCAGTACACGAAATGTTGCTGAATGACACAATAAATGCAATATGTATGTAGTGCTGTAGCGCTGGTCGATTCACGTCCAGCATTCGGAGTCTAAACCGCAGGGACAATTTTTGAGTTTTTATGCGTTTTAAAGTGCAGGTAACAGCCCAGAAAATACGTACAAAGCGGTCCAACTACAACTACAACTCGAAGCAGCGCACCACCCAACTTGGGTAGCTCTGAAATATTGAAGATGGGAAGGGGAAGCTTTGCAAAAACGAATTGTACAAAGCCGGACGCCAATATCCTACAATGGTCCTCATGCATTGCAATACTATAGATTACTAGTAGTTGTTTACAAAGTAATTACTCGAAGTAGTTTCACACGACGTGTGTTTCGCCGTATGGTTTGTGACGGCTCACCAGGTGGGCAATATGAAACTCAGATGTTGAATTAGCGCTTTGGAGTCTCCGAGATGTGTTGGAGCTAGGCATTTCCCAAATCGGCCGAAAAAATTGCCAAAAACAGTAGTTTTGAAGAAATCACCGATCTTTTTGCCAAATACCCAATTTTCCCACTGAATTCGCCGAAAATCGATGTTTTGGTGCCTCGACAGCATGCAAATACAATTTTGTAGCCATTTTCTGCGAAAGGTGACTGCGACTTTAGGCGTTTCCGAAAATGGGCAGCAGAAAAAGACGCCGAAATCAATGGCTGTCAAGAAACCGCGGATAATTGAGCCGAATTTACAAATGTTGCACTGAATTCGTCTAAAAAGGGTTGTTTCAGTACCTCTGCAGCGTGCAAGTAAATTTACGTCTATACTGCTAAAGAGGACTTGAAGTACTGCTTTGAGCCGAATTCTGAATTTGGGGATCATAACCATGATAACATGGCCGAATTTGGACATTCTCCTAGCCGATCGAAAAGCCGATTAGGCGAAGTTGGAGCTACTGTAGGTGTCAGCTAACGTTGGCTATCCAGTCATTTGACCTTAGATATAGAGCACCTTCGGTTATATGCTACTTCGAAGTAGTAGTACAGGTTTTTATTGCTCCCCCCCCCCTCCCCCCCCCCCCCCCCCCCGGTTATGTTATGCTGTAGTTTCACTATAGAGTGGTTTCACATCTATCACATGACCATATGGGACGGCCATGTTGGTTTCAACTCTACTTAACTCCTGCATCTATGGGTCACGTGATGTCGGCCATGTTGGTTCCACTGTCCACATGCCATGATGACTTTCTATACAAATTTAGTCACATGACAACGATGTGAAACCACTCTATATACTAGCAAGAGTACATAAACCAGTATGACATTGTACTCTTGATACTAGTAGTTGGCCATTAGTACTGCTTTCGTACGTGACTGTGCAGTCGTGATCTGCATTGTGGATTAGGATTTGTGGGCAACTACACGTACATGAAGATATCTGTGACGGTGTGTGTGTATGGGTATAAAAAAAGAGTAAATTATCGACCCTTCGGGAATAGACACGATCTTATCGTGTCTATTCCCGAAGGGAACTCACGACGGCCGCTAACACCCGGTAAACCCTATGGGTATATGTGTGTGGTGCGCATGCGTGTGTTCCTTTGCATCAGGTTCTATGATGTTGTCATTGGGATTCCCAATCCAGATGTATTCGTTCCGCCGGGAGAATGTTTTCAATAGTCCGTGGCAGAGATTGTATAATTACCGTCATTGGGATTCCCAATCCAGATGTATTCGTTCCGCCGGGAGAATGTTTTCAATAGTCCGTGGCAGAGATTGTATAATTACCGTCCGACTTACAAAATTGATTGCATCGAAGTGACAATCAGACTAATCATGCATATCCCCGGCCGCACGCTGTGCAATGTTGAGCAATAAACCTTTGAGCTAGCTACGAAAATCCTAGCCATAGCACTAGAGTCTATACCTAGCGTCTTCTTCGTCTTCTTCGTCACGGTCATCCTAGCCCCGCTCTCTAATAATCTACTACATGTAGTACACTGAGATTGTACTGCAGTGAAACCTGTCTAAGACGACCACTCAAGGGACCTTCAAAATGTGGTCTCTGTTACCAGGTGGTCTCCTTATCCAGGGTCACTTGACTTGAAATAGCGTCCATTGATCCTGGTTTCAGTGGTCTTCTTGGACAGGTGGCCGCCTTATCCGAGTGGTCGCCTTATCCGAGTGGTCACCTTATCCGAGTGGTCACCTTATCCGAGTGGTCACCTTATCCGAGTGGTCACCTTATCAGGTTCTACTGTAATGATTTACTACCAAGAGTACTGGGAGCTTATAGTCATGTACTTGTTCCTGCTAAACGTGTTTTCTCATAAGTTGAACGCACAAATCATGCAATGATGAGATGAAATTATGAATGCAGGGAGAGCAAAGAGAACAGCAACATTGATTGATAAAAATGTGGATTGCAACAGCTTGACGTGTAAAAAACTATAAGCTGTGATCGTGTTGTAAAAAAAAAAGTACCACTGAAGTAAGTTGAGGAGCCTAGCCTAGGCGCCTAGCCCATCATGCATCAACTCAAAATGATCAAGCAAATACATTCGCATATCGGCGGGCCACCACTTCGCCCATAGTAAGGGCCATACCGGTATATCCTTAGTAACGACTTACCGGTACGTAACTCGTTAGTTCACATGTGAGTCAGGGGAGAGGGGAAAAGTCTTTCAACAAGCGGGCGCGCGGGCGTGTAAAGGCCCTATGACCCCATAAACCGCATCCTTGTTACCCACACGTACACGTACACCGAGCAACTAACTTGTACGTAGACTCTACCAGGGAGTCGTCAAAGACTGACGACTCCCTGGACTCTACCCAGTTCACTGTGGGTGTCGGCACAGTTGTAAAGATAGTGCCAGTGGTACTCGCCCGCATCACACCGCGATTGAGAGAGCAAAATCGGCTATGCGTTGGTCGTGATCGTGTTGTAGTCGAGTAAAAGAGTGCCGCCTTGTAGAGGAGACGGCTCGATACCGGGACGTTTTGACAGCCAAATTTGTATAGACCCAAACCGATCATCAGCGTTGATTTTTCACTCGAAATATGTTTGTGGAAGGAAACTGGCATGTTGAAGTTTGCTCTGGGGCCAGAGTCAATCGAACTGAGCCACTCCTTTGTGTTGACCCATTGCCTCCAAGTTGCCCAATTTTTCGCTTCAAAAAAGTTCAAATCAGAGGTGGCTCCAAACCGGACACGTTTTAGAGTGCACGTCAAATTCACTCTGGGTCTGAAATTAGGTAATTGCTATCGCTCCACGACGGCCAGTATAGAGTAACAATAAGCCTTGTGTGTGCTTCCATTAGTTTTGATTTGTATGCGGTGCTTTATTGGCGAGAGGCGAGCCGCTGTTTACCTGCGACAAGAAGTTGATTTTTCGAAAGTCGTAAAACTCAAGTCGCAGTGCGAAGCAACACGTCAAAAACTCACCTGCTTGATATGGCGCTTCTGGTCATCGCAGAGCCATGAAATTTTGGCTCGGAGTATAACACATAGTAGTCTCACTGTGACATATGTTTTCTAATCAAAATACCAAGAGAGAAAGTGAGTATTGAGTCCGTTCCGGTTTGCAACCGGTGTCCTATTTGAAACCGTCCCCTCTACCAGTGTACTGCATTGCTGCGGCAGTCCACGCCGGGTCCGTGTCATTCGAGAGGCCAAGACTCGCGAGAGCTTCGTGTGGAAGCCCGCAAATCGTTGGTCTGAGACTGAGTCCCTACACTACAAGTACCAACACTGAACAGTACAAGTCTACAGTACAAGTCATGTAGATCTACATGACATACAGTCTACACTAACCAGCTGCATGTCCTTGCCACCGTGCTAGCTTCTTCTACGAGATCTACATCAGTACATGACTGTATTATTATTAATATTATTATAATCCTTGCTTGGCTTGTAACATGTGCTGTCAAAATCGAAATACCATGAGTCTGATGACTGCCGCAGTACTAGTAGTACAGATTCTACTGGCAGCTTGAACTTTGAAGCCTCTCTTTGGTGTTCATTGATTCGGACGATCATTGATCTTCTGTACTGCCTCCTTCCAGCATGCAACGTTCTGCATCACCAGAGTACGAGCCGCTCGGAGGCCTTGACAACACTACTCCCATTGACAAGCTGCGTCTCAACATCGCAGTTGGAGGAGCTGAAATCACGCTCCAAGGTCAAAAATCTTGCCAGGACGCGGTATACCAGGCGCTCATTAGCAATGGCAAGGATTACATATGCCGGCTGGAAGAAGCGGCGCGATTTGAAAAGCTGCTGATCCCGGCGGTATGTTCCGGCGACTCTGGGAACCTAGACATTGCTCTGAGACTGGAGCCTCACTCGAGCTCAGACTGGACAAGCGCTGGCGCAGGCCGCAGCGTATTTAGGAAAGGGATAGTCAATCAACAATGCCGAAGGCGTGGAATATTCCTCCTGCACTACGCTGTCCTCGCCAGAAAAGAAGAGTGTGTGCGGGTTCTGCTACAGAATGGTGCATGTGTGGATGCTGAGAGTCAACGTGCACGTCGCTTTTCCTACTGGATCACGAAGGATCCGATAGGGAGGATTGCGGCGCGCGTCACACCACTGTGGTTGGCCATAGCACTGAAAGAGTACGACATTGCACGTCTGTTGCTGCAGTTCGATGCGCAGGTTGTACCCGCTTTTGTTACTATGCCTGTACAGGTCCTGGTGTGCGCGTGGGAACTGGCTTTCGATGATTCCGCAGCGCTGGAAGTAATTCACTTCAGTGGTCGCCACTACGTCCCATTCTTGTTGGTGGCCCGTGTACTGAAAGGAGCTCAGGACATTTCGAACGGCTCACTCATGAGATTATTGGAAGTTGGTGGTGGTCCGTCTTGGTCGGATTTTGAAGTCCAGTCTTCGATAATGACATTGAGCGTACCTGTACAAGTAGCAGGGTCAGACACTGCAGCGAAGAGAGTACTTGAGTTGATGCCCTGCAGAACGTTTGAAGACATAGCCTGTAAAAGCATGGCTGTTCGATGTCTTCTACTAATGTTCCTTGATCAGGTCCGCCACACACGGTGGCAAACGTTCGATCTAGACCTTCTGACCGTGCTGATCCGTGAAGGTGCTTGCCTCACAGGCTATGCTGGCAAAGCTCAGGAGATTGCAATATCTGCTGCCGCGAAAGCCGTGCACTTCGACAGCTATCACAAACATGCATCAACAACTCCGGACATTAATCGGAGAAAGCTGCCTTCCACTTTCTCCACCCTGGCCCCCCGAAATGGCCATCCGTCCTGCGAAGTGTGTCGGATGTATTTATGTCCAATCTGTGTGTCGCACCTGCAGAACCCAGGCAAGCTCTACACTCTTCCACGGCTTTTGCCAGTTGTTGACTGCTACTGTGGCGTCGGAGGCGATGCTGACGACGAGTCCTTCCTGGCGCTTCTGGCATTGACGGACGTGCCGTGGTTGACGTCTGCGGCTGACATTCCCTACTATGGTCGTGTGCTGCACGACGGGCCAACGTGCTTTCACGCGCCCCTGACCGATGCTCAGCGCCGCGTGACCCTGCGCATGTGTACGCTTGGCAGTGCGGCCGCACCCACTCTCAAGTCGTTGTGCCGCCAATCACTGGTTCAACTGCGGCCATGCAGGAACGGGCTTGTCCAGTTTGTGAGCGTTCTGCCCGTGTCTGATCTCCTGAAGGCGTATTTGCTTAGCCTAAAGAATTAGACGGCTCGCCCTAGCTCGAATCTAAACTTCAATTGTTGCTGAACCGATGCAGCAGCAGTGACCACGAGTCTTATCAAGTTTTCCACTTGTAACTTTGCTAGTACTGGCTTATCCGGGGAATCCTCAAACTGTGATATGCATTTTAAAGAACTCAGATGGCGAGCCAAGGAAAAAAGGCAAAAAAATGAAGGCATTTTTTGGCATAATCATGTCCTTTTTGAGAAAGAGCATGAAATGGCATCCGAAAACAAGGGCAGATGCCAAATGAGGCTGTTACATGTATGTACACCTGATATCAGTGAAGGACCATACATACTAGTAGTGCTTCTTGTCGATTTGGAATAATAATTTAGCAGCCACTGTAGGACATCTCCCAAAAGTTCAGCGTTTGCTTGTGAATTTGTATCCCTCTTGCATATTCTTGTCTTTTACTTCCACAAAGCTCCCAGTCCACATCATGACAATGGTCTGAGTCCTTTTTTCATGACGATTATCTCGTTCTTTTGGTCTTTTTGGTGAAGCATATAAAAGCATAATTGGCTTGTTTTCTCGAGCATCCTGCGAGCATCCGCTAAAGCATAAGCGGGTCATTTTCCGAGCATAATCTGCTTACTAAAGTTACCCCTACTCAATACACAGGGTTTCGGGGAATTCACTCCTCGTCAGTTGAGCTTGACTGGTAGGTAGCCCTTGGCGGATTATGCCGGCATAATATTTGGCATAATCTTGGGATTTCGTCAAAAAATTATGCTCCGGCATAATATACGGATTCCAACGTGTAAGGTCGGCATAATCTTTCGGTTTAGACAAAAATTATGCTTAGGGGCATAATACAGCTTTGTCAGAACGCCTGCAGATGTTTTTATTTTAAATACCCCAGTTACGACTCCTTGTCATAGCCCTTGCAAGCTTGGCAGATTATGCCGGCATAATATTTGGCATAATCTTGGGATTTCGTCAAAAAATTATGCTCCGGCTAGTCCTTTCCCAAAGATGCCAAAATATTTCGCAACTTATGCTTTTCGCAACCATGCCAAAACAAGTGAAAGTTGCTGAAATCATATCCATATTTTCAGAAAAAGCACAATAGTTGCTAGTATCGCAACTCAAAATGAGCGAGTTCCTGTGCATAATGATGCCAAAAAAAAAAAACCAATAAAGGAGCGGAAATGGAAAACACAACTGC